TCTCTCTCTCTCTCTCTCTCACACACACACACACACACACACACACACACACACACACACACACAGCTACAGAACACTAAAGGAGACAAGACACTGAAATGTCTGTGCTCAAACTCCTAAAGGTTAGTTCCCATATATCTGGCAGGCTGATGATGGCCTTTATGTCCACCCAACTCTAGAGGTATCTTCTCATCACATATACCATCAAAGCAAGCCAAAATACCAAAGAACCTAAAGTCTACTTTACTCGGGAGGAAAAAAGCTGACAATCCAACATCAGTTATTAACATTTTAAAGGTTAGAATCCAAAGGCTCCATTTCTGCCACTTTTAGAAGCTAGATGTACATTTTTGTCAGCCTGTAGTATGGGACTCAGGTGTTACATCATCCAATACCTGAATACTATCCCATTAACCAGGAAGCATCAACGTATCCCTTCCTCTCTCAGTGCTCTTGATGCTACTGACCTCTGGGATCTACTCTCTTTCAGCTCCACAAAATATCTGCCATGCCTCTGCTGCTATCCCATTTACTTTACCTCATGATGCTATATAGCTATTTGTCTACTCATCAGTCAACAAAGCCAATCAAATACACACCACATACATCCCAACTGGACAGCAGCCATTCAGTTCTCCCTTAGTCCTTCCCATTCACTGTTCTGGAACTAAAAATCAGGTTTCATTATCTCTGTGATCCTAAAAGAATGAACTGTAAGATATGGCACACAATTGAATGTCCTCTATTTTCTGTTAATATCAGTCTAGGATCCACATCCTCTGTCCATTGTCACAAATGTCTAGTCCCTCTAAGCCTCAAAGTAATCCTCTCTAGTTTTTTTCCTCCTACTCAACTTCTGCACTCTACCTTTTATTATCTCAGTGACCTAATAATTTTGGATCCTCTAATGTCTTAAAACTGTAAATATTCCAATCTTTCCTCACACTTCTACACCTGAAATCTTCCAAACTCTTAGGTAACCTACTTCTGAACGCTCTCCAACAGTCATTTCCTGCCCTAAACACGAGCATCCTACTTCCCTCACCACATCAACCCCATACAGCTGTCCCTTTCTAGTCAGACATGCATCCATACATCCCTACCAGGCCCTTCCTTCAGTATACGTTCTACTACAAAATACCCTTTCTTCCGCCGTTCTTCTCACTATCCCCTGCCTACTCCCTTCCCTCCTCCCTCTACATCGCACTCCAGACCTATCCCACCTTCTACTGATTTCCCTTCAAACACACCCCCTTCCATCTTCCTCCTCCTCCCCAACTTCTCTCCATACCTCCTGCCCTGGGAATATTTCCTTCCATATGTCCCTACACCTCACCTACAACTCCATAAACACCCCCCCTTCCCTTCTGCCCCACACACCTGTCCCTTTCCACGGTGCCAACCTCAAGGTTCCTCTTCTGCTGTTGCCTACCAGTGTTTCTCACACAAACACCCTCCATTTCACTTCTGCTACTACACACACCTCCTGCCTGGACACCTCTTTCCACCCAATCACCTAACCATTTCTCTCCGAAGCCCCTCAAACTCAGCCCCTGTGCCAATCACCCCTCCCCCCATTAGCCTCCACCTCCTCTCCCATGAGTACAGGACAAACATCTGCCTTTCTCCTCTAGCTTGTCAATCCCTTCCGTCTCCCTCCATTCCTCTGGGCCAGACACCCATCAAGGGACTCATCTGGGCGCGCGCGCGCGCACACACACACACACACACACACACACACACCCTCCTACCTGAACATTCTCAATTTCACCCGCCACTTGAGAGACCCCCTCCCCAGACACCCCTTGCCCGCCACACTCCCCGCTACGGACCCCTCCTCCGCCATTTCCCTTCAGGCGGTCCGGTGGCCTTCCCACTCTCCGCCCGGTTCCCTGCCCCTTACATGCAGCCCTAACCGGGGCATCTGCTCCTTCCATTTCAGCCTAGAGGTGCCCATCTTCTCCCTCCCTCCACCATCTCACTTGCCCCTGCCCGCCCCAAATCCCCCTTCACACACGTCTGAACCCCAAACGGAACGTCCTCCTTTCCTCTCAAATCCAACCTAGGCCCCCACGGGCCCCCAGGCCTGCCCTTGAGGCCCTGGTCACCGTGGGGCCGGGTCCCTCAACCCTCCCGGCTCCCTAAATCTGCCCACACCCTGTGCCCGCCCCCCGAGCCTCTCCCCGATTCCTGCCCGCAACGTCCTCCAGCACCTGCCCTGCGCCCAGAGCCCTCCCACCTTCCCCGGGCTCGCGCCCCGCACGCTGCCCACGCCCTCGGGAGACTCGGGGCCGGGACTCGCGACCCCGACCCCGAAAGCAAGGAGACGGCCGCAGTCCTGACACGGACCGGCCAGGCACCGCAGCGGCGGCCACAATGCCCAAGCCGCGGGGCCAGGATTGCGCCGCGCTCCTCGCCTCGGCAGCCGCCGCCGCCGCTGCTAAGGACGCACAACAAACAATGCGGGGCCCGGGCCGGCTCCGCCAACCGCCTCAACCGCCGCCTC